TCTACTTGTCTTTGCCTGTGCTCAGTCCTGCCTGAGCTCTCTATCTTTTTGGCTTCAACTCCCATTACTAGTCTTTAATAACAGTACTTAGTCTTTTTCTCTGGAGAAAATATCTTCACCCTACAAGACTGCAGACAGTCTTCCAGGGTATCATGCTTACCTTATGTCAGCATTCATCTTATTTTTTGAAATTATCTATTCCCTTAATACTTTCACTCTAAAATGTAGGTTCTCTTAGAAGGGAAATTAGATTTTAATCATCCATGCTTCTTTAATTTAAAGGCTTGGGGAGGTCTAATGGACAGTTGGTTCATAGCTATTATTTTGAAGAAATACCTTCTGAAATAATTTATGAGTAAGCCATGCAACCTAAACAGTGATTTTAAAGGACATATGGTCATAGTGTCTGCTTCTGTTTAGCTGAGTTACTGACTGAAGACCATCTTCAAACAGTTGGTCCATTAAAATATAGTACTGAGAGAGGTGCTTGTTAAAATAGGTATTTAAATTTACACAAATCAGATTGAAGTTCATTGGTAGTATAAATCTCCAGAGAAGAGAGTGAATATCCCAGAAATGAGGCTCACTCATCTTAGCTCAAATGTAATTAATAAGCATATCAGAATAAAGATGGGTCAAGAAACAATGTTTGTAATACCTAAAATTACACCTACAGGAATCATATACTTCTCCTGTAACTATATTTATAAAATGTGAATGGTCTTTAGTAGGGCATGGCAATAGACCTGGATCTAGCTTTAGTTTTTGGCATGTGGAGAGCCAGTTTTTCCAGCACAAGCAACACTTGTTCTTTTTTTTTTTTTTTTGGTAATGTATTTGGTACAGCCTATCACTGTATAGCTCGGACTCCTAGTGATCCTCCTGTTTTCAGCCTCTCCAGCACTGGGATTACAGATGTGCACAACCCCCCTCCCCCAGTCTCAGTGGCCGGCTTAGTGCACCCAGGGGCGGGGCTGGTGTGGCATGTAGTTCCAGGGATGGAACCAGTCCCTGTGCTTGCCTAAACAGGCACTTAGTCTGCTGAGCTATCACAACGGGCCCAGCACCATTTGTTAAAGGTGCTATCTTTCTTCCAGTGAACATGTTTGGCCCCTTCGTCAAAGATATTGGAATATTTTGCTGAATTTATGCACTTACAGTATTTAAATGACAATGGAATACCCTTCTCTGACAAAACTAAACAGAAAAAGGGATACAAATGATGGAACATTTTGTATCAGTATACTTAAAATGGGATAGATATACAGCTACTTTTTCTTAACTCAATGAGTAGGAAGATTTGTTCTAATAGTGTTTTTGGACAGGATATCATGTCTGCATCTTGTACTATGAATTACTACTAAGAAGACAACATTATGCAGTGTATTAATTATTGAAACTCTCCTACTAATTGGTTTTGAAACTGTCTCATTGTTATTTGTTTCTCAATAAAATTATTAAAAAACAAACAAACAAACAAAAAAGATAAGGTGGCCCAGTGTGTTTGTAGTTGTGTCTGCATCTTCTAATCTGTTTCATTGATCCTCTGGTCTGTTTTTTGTTGTTGCTTCCCCCCCCCCCAGTACCATGGTGATTTTATCACTGTAGTTTTGTAGTATAATTTTAAGTCAAGGGTTATAATGCTTCCTGCCTTGCCTTTGTTGGTCAGGATTGCCTTTGCTATTCTAGGTCTTTTCTGGTTCAAATGAATTTTAGAAATGGTTTCTCTAGATCTTTGAGATATGTCAGTGGTATTTTGATAAGGATTGCATTAAACCTGTATAACAATTTTGGGAATATGGCCATTTTCACAGTGTTAGTTCTTTATATCCAGCAGCAATAACTATCTTTGCATCTTCTGAAATCCTCTTCAATCTCTTTTCTCAAAGTATTATAATTTTCCTTGTATAGATCTTTTACTTCCATAGTTATATTCATTCCTAAGTATTTAATTTTTTTTGAATGCTATTGTGAAAGATGCAGTTTCTCCAATTTCTCTCTCAATGAGTTTGTTGCTTGTGTAGAGAAATGCTATTGATTTTGGGGTGTTGACTTTATATCCTTTTATGTTACTGAATTTGTTTATTAATTCTAGTAGTTTCTTGGTGGAATTTTTTGGGTCTTCTATTTAGAGCATCATGTCATCTGCTAATCCAGCGGCTCTGGCTAATGTTTCCAGAACTATATTGAATAGGAGTGGTGATAGAGGACATCTTTAACTTGTGCCTGTTTTTCAAATAAAAGGTTTCAGTTTTTCTTCATTTAGAAAGATATTAGCTATTGGTTTATCATAGATAGTTTTTATCAGATTGAGGTATAGTCCATCCACTCTAATTTTCTGCAGGGTTTTTATCATGAATGAGTGTTGGACTTTGTCAAAAGATTTTTCTGCATCTATTGAGATGGTTTTTGCTTTTCGCTCTATTTATATGGTATATTACATTTATAGATTAGCCTATGTGGAATCATCCTTGCATCTCTGGGATGAATCCTACCTGGTCATGGTGTATAATTCTCCTGATGATTTAAGCATTCTATTTGCTGGTATTTTATTGATGATTTTTGCATCTATGTTCAGGAGAGAGATTGGCCTATAGTTCTCTTTTTTTGGTTGAGTCTTTCTCCAGTTTTGGTATCAGTGTTGGGAATGTAGACAGTACAACTACTATGGAAAGCAGTGTGGAGACTCCTCAGAAAACTAGGATTAGAACTCCCATTCAACCCAGCTATTCCTCTTCTGGGTATTTTTTCCAAATGAACTAAAAACAGTGAGATATATGTACCCATGTTTATTGCAGCACAGTTGTTCATAGTTAAATCTTGGGCACAGCCTAAATGCCTATCACCTGAGGATAAGATAAAAGATTTGTGGTATTTTTATGCCATGGAGTGTTACTCAGCTATAAAGAAATATAAACTTGAGGTCTTTGTAGGTAATTCTGTGTGCTGGGGCCTGAGAGATAGCTCAATAGAATAAGCACCTGCCTGCTAAGCACAAGGTCCTGAGTTCAATCCCTGGTTCTAAATTCAATCCCTGGTTCTGAAAAAAAAAGTCCTAATTCTATGTGCTAATATCTACAATCTGAGCAACTACACTATGGATAACAATGTGCAGTATAATAACCATGGTGGAATACCTTTTATCTTGTTCTTTTAAGTGTGTGCCATTTCTAATACTCTATCAATTATTATTATACTCTCTTTAAAATAAATTAAAAAATAAACAGCTAAAGGAAAAGAAAAAATTAAGGTTTATGAAGGAAAGAATTAACGTTTAGTTGCTTGACCAATCTTGCATACCTATATCTGGTAATCTGAGTAACAAATTTGATGATAATATTGTGTAATATAACACCTATTGTTAATTTTCTACTTTTGTTTTGAAATCTTGTTCCATTTGTATTGCTTTAGGTTGCTGTGTTTTTTACTTTTTTTTGCTTTTGTGCTTGTTTTTCCTCTTAAAAATGGGGGATGGTCAAACACTCCTAGCCACAACTAATAAAAGCAGGAGAAAACATTTGACCTATGCTGAAACAATGAACTCCTTTCTCTTGGAAATTCTTTTTTCTTTCTTTCTTTCTTTTTTAATACTATAGAAACAGCTCCTAGATTTATTTCCATATTGTGTTCCTAGTTTTGTTTTTTTTTTTCATTTTATGTATTTGGTACAGGGTCTCACTACGTAGCTTGGACTTGTAGCATTCCTCCTGCTTTCAGCCTCCCCAGCACTGGGATTACAGGCATGTGCCACCACATCCAGATTTATTTCCATAATAAGGAGATAAATAATTGAACTTAAAAATAAGAGGATTAGAAAAGGCATTTTTCCAAAGAAGATGCTCCACATTGATAGTCACTATGGGAATGCAGATTTAACCCTTAACGAGTTGCCATTACATTCCCATTATAAAGGTGGCAATAAAAAAGGCCAGAACAGACATTGACACAATGGAGAACCTGACACATCCTTGATGGGAGCACTTTCTCCTGATGTGTTGATAACATCACTAGGATTCTTCCCCACAAAGCTGCTGGAGAAGGCAGCATGATATTTCTTCAACAGGTTACACAAGGTGTTAGTATCTGACCCAGAAATCTCACTCCTTAGCAAACAAGTATTTAATCATGGTGACAAAAGCTTTTTAAAAAATATTTACTTTATTTTTTAGATTGCACATTATAAAAAAATTGCAAACTTGAGTGAATATAGCAATAAAATTTGTCTAAAATTAAAATGAAGAAGAAAGAATATATGGATCAGTCATATAATAGTTCACTCTGTGCCAAAATCAAGAAACATATATTTACATAACTAGAATTCTCAAAGTAGAAGGGGGCAGGCAATAAATATTTAAAGATTTAAAATTTATGAATTTAGTCAAATTATAGAACCACATTTCCAAGAAAAATGAACCTTTTGCATAAGAAATATGAATAAAATCATACCATGATACACAAAAATGAAATTGCTTAAAACTACTTGTAAAGAAAAAAATCATTAAAGCATATACATAGAAAAAATATTAGCCATGGAAGAACAAAATTAAATAGCATTGTATTCCACATTAGAAAAAAAAGAACAAGTGGATAGGAAACTAGACTTATTAATTCAAAGGACTAAAAAACAAAGAAAAAGATCTGTCCTCATTGAATTTTATACTTAGCAAACGTACTTTTGAAAAGTAGAAGTAAAATATTTTCCAGTTATAGAAACTCAAAATATTCTAATACCTCGAGATGTAGCATATAGAAAATAACAAAGATCAGAATCCAGAAGGCAAGAGAAGGGCTGGGGAGATAGCTCAGTGACATAAGTGCCTGCCTTGAAACCACAAGGTCCCAGGTTCGATCCCCAGTCAAAAAAAAAAAAAAAGGTCAGAAGGCAAGACAAGTTGCTGTATGGTCCTAGACAAAGAACAAAGAGCTCTCAAAATGTTAGCTGTGGAGGACTATGTAAAATATAATTGTATTAGATGAACCCATTTAAAAAGTCATTGAATGTACTTGTTTCAGTAGCACATATACTAAAATTGGAATGATAGATTAGCATGGCCCCTGAGCAAGGATGACACAGAAAAAGTCATTGAAGATTTCCACAAAATATTATCAATCTTATGTCAGCATGTATATATATATATAGTTTTTCATATATATATATACATACATGTGTGTGTACATATGTGTGTAAAAGACAAGGAAGAACAAATATAAAGTCAATGGAAAATGGAAATACACTTTTTTAAAGTTTTTAATACTAGGATATAATATATCATGTCTTATAAGTAGATTGTAAGTTAAAGATATAGTATAAGCATAAAAAATTAAACAATATTCAGAATATTAATTAAATAATAATTAATTTAAAATGAAACTAAATATTTCAAAACAATATTCTAAAATTAAAATTAAATTGTGAGCCCAACTAAGAGGCCATAATGTAATGTATCATATGTATGAATCTGTGATTAATTCAGAGTACTGAGACAGTATTTGAATAGGTTAATATGCACAAAAATATCAAATAAGAAACAGTTTTCATTACAGTAAAGAATTACTAAGAATAAAATATAACAAAAATATTGGAATGTCAAACATATGACCAGCACTTCTAATAATTTGGGGAGAGGATATCGCACAAAATTCTAGTATGTTGTGGGCATGACAGTGTCCATGACACTTGCTGGTGGCCGGGTGTCATTTGTGGGACTGAGCTTCTTTTATTTGCTTGATATCCACACTATAGACCCAGACAGAAACATGACCCATAGGGTGCAGGAGAAGTCCGTTTGTAGAGTGTGCTGATGGAAATATTTTTCTGCTGCATACAAAAGAATAATTGAAAGAGTGCTGTGGTATACCTCTTTTTCTCCTGTGTTTAATTGTTTGCCCTATTTGGTAGGTTATTTCCATTCTCATTCATGGAGTTGTGGTCATTTTGATCCCTCTCTAGAATATATTTTAGTAGTCTGTGTAGGGATGGCTTTGTTGTCATGGAATTCTTTAGTTGTTCTTTGTCATGGAAGTATTTCACTTCTCTATTAAACTTGAGATTTTTGCGGGATATATCAGTCTGGGTTGGAATGTGTTTTCTTCCAAGACGTGTAGTACTTTGCTCCACGCTCTTCTTGACTTGATGGTTTGTGAAAAGAAATCTGCTGTTATGCTGATGTTTTTTTCCTTTAAATGTGATATGTTTCTTTTCTTTAGGGGCTTTTAGTATACTGTTGCTGTGCTGAATTTCTGGGATCTTGATTACTATATGTCTGGGTGTGATTTTAATTGGGTTGATTTTATTTGGAGTTCACAAGTTTCGGTTACCTGAACGTCACATTGCTTCCACATATTTTGAAAATATAAGTTGCCTTATGCTGTTCATCTTTGCATCTTATTACAGATGTTGAATTATTTTTTCCTGCATCCTAGTTGTTTTTAAGATATCTTTTCTTACCTTTTCATTAGCTGCAATGGTATCTTCAAGGTCTGAGAGTCTATTTTAACTATATATATATATATATATATATATATATATATATATATTTTTTTTTTTTGGCAGTACCAGGGATTGAACTCAGGACCCTGCACTTGCCAGGCAAGCACTTATTTTACTGAGCTAACTCCCCAGCCCCCACTTTCATTCAAATGATTTTGCCAGCTTGTGACTGGGCTTTTAATTTCCTGTATAGCACTTTGAATCTGCTTCATGCATTCTATTTCTTTCCTATATTGCTCATTTAAGGGTTACATCATCTTTCTTTTCTCCTCTATTTTTTATCAATGTCTTCTTTAGAAACACTTAGTAATTCTTTCATTATAGTTAACATTTCTTTTTTACTTTAGAAATTATTTCTGATCTGATTTCCTGTATGCTTTTCTACAGTTGTTCCTTTACTTCAGATGCTATTATTTCAGAGATTTCAGGTGTGTGCTTTCCAATGTCTTCTATGCTATTGCCTCCTGCATTTGTTCCAAATGGGCTCTGTGTCTGAGGGTGCATTTTTCTCCTTCTCTTTGTCATTTTGTATAGCACTGTCTTCTGACCTTTGGTGTAGGGTGCTGGTAGAGTTATTACCTTAGCACCAGGTCCACATCTACCAAGTTCAAACTTGTCCAGGTGGGTGTTGCTTGGGTCTGGCTGCTGTGCTCCACTTCTTCCTGCTTCAGCCCCTTGGAATTGAACCCACTGTGCCACTCTGGCAAGATGTTCTGCTCCTAGATCTGCTGGGCAGGTTTTGCCTCTAGACTCTCTGCAGGGAGTTTTGCTGAATTGTTCCACACCAGGCCTGTCTGATGGAAGAAGTTCCACACACACACACATACCTGGCCTGGGTGCTGGCAGGAATGAGGATCTGGGAGGCCTCAGGCTGCCCCATTCACACGCCTTGCCTGGGTGCTGGCTGAATGAGGATCCAGAGGCCCCGGGCTGCCCCTCTCACACGCCAGGCCTGGGCCTGTAGTGAGAGTGTGGAGGGCCCAGGTGGTCTCAATCATCCAGAAGCTCAAGTGAACCATTCAGTCTTGTTTCCAATGCCTCTTGAGAGCATCCATTAATGGCAGCAACAAAGAGCAGAGAGCAAAAAGAGTGGCCTTTGGAAATTCTTAATTTTAATAAAAAATATAGTTCTAAAGAAGTTGTAAGGGCTTAAGAGCTTGGGCAGGTTTGTAACTTACTTGTGTAGCCTGAGAGGAAGTGCCTTAAGCAGAGGGACAGATGAGGCAGGCAGGCAGCCAGGAGCAGCAGAAAGTGGAGGAGTCTAGTGCCAAAGGTTCCACTTTTTTCATAAAGCCAACGGTAGTGCAGTTCTTGACATCCTGGTGTAGGACTGGAATTCAACTGAATACACAAGTGCAGAAATGTCAGAGTTCTGTTGTTAAAACAGCTGCTGTCGATTCACACTATTTAGCTTCCTTTTTGTATTAATTTTTAAGTGGCTTTATTGTTCTGTATTAGGGTTATTGGTACCAAATTCTGAGCTGTTGTATAGCACTCTCACAATTCCTCTGTGACATTATATACAATCACTGAGAGAATATTTAGGTACTTGTCATAACGTGCATAGTTTGAGATCAGCTGAATATTCTCAATATCATATATGGCTCTATGCATATGAAGAGAACATTCCCTTTTTGCATAAACTAAATAAAGTTAGTCTTGTTTGTTTTTAGAAACAAATATCCTCTGATCCATGGATCAGAAAAATAATGGAATATCGCAAGTATTATCCAACTTTAATAAGAGGAGGAGATATTTTCTCTTGTTGGGAGTTAAGTAAAAGAAACACAATGGAGAACATGGAATGTCAGAGCTAAGTGCTGTAACTCAGAGTTCATGAGATCTGCTTGCCCAGAGTGCTTTGCGTGCCCCTGGCAAGGTGCTGTTTGCCTCAGATCTCACAAATGTGATCATTGTTAAGACAATTCTGTCTTTTACTTCAAGGTGTAAAAAAAACAAAGAACGAACAAAAAAAATCAACTTACAAGACATACTGAGTCTTTGTTCTTTTTTTTACATTCCCTAGTAGCTAACCTACTTGTAACATATTCTCAGATGCTTCATCAGCCATAATAATAAATTTTATATCAATAAAAGCATCACACAATTGTATATTTTAATCAGATAGTTTTAGCTGTAGAAGAGCAATTTTTCTCAATTATATTTTCTTAGTCAGGCCCTCAAACCTGACTTACGAGACAATATGAAAAGACAAATGTTTTTAGGTTGTAAAATTACAATATATATTACATCCTGCAGTGTTCATTGGATTTTCTCTTCAAAGTATCTTGCTGTTGCATATCCTGGGACTTCTGTAGGTATTTTTAATTTGATCTAGCTGCCTGGAAAGTAGAATTACAAACTTCAACAGCTTTACAGTGTCATAAGCCTGTGTTTCCATCTGATATTCTTATCTGTTTTCCTAGCTTTACTTTTCTAGAGCCCAGATATATATTCACTTAACCCCTTTAATTGTATGCATTTTTGTTACTTTCTCATGTACTTTGTACACTATTCTAGCTATTCAAAGTGTGGTCAAGGGATGTATTTGCATAACTGAGCACCTTCTGGAAATGAAGTCTCAGGCCTCATCCCAGTCCTCCTGAATTAGCACTTTTAATAAGCTTCAGATGGTTCTTATTCAAAACAAGTTACAGAACACTGAAATAGAGCATTAACAATAAACTAACACTAATTTATTTAACTTAATCATTAGAATTATATGCTAATTTCAACTTTTGAAATTTCAAATAATAGCTTAAGCCAGTTGAGAAATTGTTTGAAAATGAAAATTCCTAGACTTTGAGTTGTGAAACTGATAGAGGGGACCAGGTGAGACTGGAGTCCATATGTTGTCAAGTCCCCCACATAACTAGAAAAGGAATGCATGCAGGAATCAGAATCTATGCAAAGTGACAGAAATTGCTTAGGCCACAGTCCTAAGCAATTTAAAAGGGAATCTCCTTTGTAGGGAAACCAGGCGCACTAGAGTGCAGAAGGGACAGAAAATGGTGGGAATAGGCAAGAAATAGCACGTGATGGTCTCTGTGTTACTACTGTTACACTTGAATCCTAAATATATGGGAGCTACAGACTTAAGCTTTTCATAACAGATTAACTAGGTCTCCTTGAATTGTAGTGTCAATGATCCAAAGCAGACTAATTTATATGGGAAGGGCTTACACCTGTTCTGATAGCCAGGCAGGCCAAAAAGGGTCTTTCTCATATTGAGGTCAGCTAGATTTGGGTAGCAAATGGCCTCACAAGTCCGTATCATAGCTTCATTCATCTCTGTCTCTATTCTCCGATGATTCAGAGTTATATACAGCAAATTAGCAAAAAAATATGAAGTGCTTTAGAGCTTTTGATTTATAAAGAAGAGGATTCTTCTCCTAAGAACTCTGGTAATAGTATCCAGGAAGCCTACCACTGCTCCAGCTCCATGGACATGCTGGTGTCTCAGACAATTGCTCTGGCTAGGCTGAGAAAGAGCTCAGATTTGCCATGTTTGGAACTGAGTAGTGGTGTCAGCTGCCACCTGAGCCACATACACCGAAGAGGATTGAAAGGAGAAAAGAGTGGATAATTTTCATAGTGCAAGGGACATGGGACA